CATAATTCAATTCTCCGATGAAAATTATCTACTGTCCTTAGTAGTACATCCTGCGGTATGTTCTGACATGCGATCCTGATCCTATCCATCATGTCTTCTCGGGTAGTTGGTTGTTCTTGATAAACGACATTCTTCAAGTATCCCCATAAGTAAAAGTCAGGAGATGTCAAGTCGGGAGATCGTGGTGGCCATGCAACTGGTCCACCGTGACCGATCCATCTACCATTGAATCTGTTGTCCAGGTAAGCTCTAACATTTCTGTGGAAATGCGCAGGAGCTCCATCTAACTGCATCCACATTCTCAGTCTTGTTTGGAGGTCAACTTCTTCCAGTAGTGCATCTACTTCATTTTGTAAAAATCGAGAAAAGTTTTCCCCATTCACATTTCCGTCAAGAAAGTAAGGTCCAATCACATGTCCATTGATAATGCCACACCACACGTTGACGCTCCAACGATGCTGATGATCTATGTGTCGATGCCAATGAGGATTTTCAGCTGACCAATAATGACAGTTGTGCCTGTTGAGCTCCCCATTATTTTTGAATGTAGCTTCGTCAGAGAACATGACATTACGGAAAAAAGTTCTGTCGTTTTGAATCATTTCTCTTGCCCAACGACAAAACTCCAGTCGTCTTTCCATGTCATCTGGTGTGATGTGATATGGTCGGAATTTTTGGCTTCTCAAAATTCTCAAGACAGTTTGTTTTGGTATGCCAGTTTCTCTTTGAATTTGTAATGTACTTATATGAGGATTGTCATGAATAATTGCCAATATCACAAGCACGCGAACATCATTCTCATCGTAAGTATGATAAATGTCCTTGTTGAGCTTTCACATGAACCCTTCGAATGGTGTTACGATTAGGGTGTCTTCGGTACGGGAAACGTTCTTGATAAAGTCTTGCAGCTCTACGATAATTCCCTCCGGCTAGACCAAGAATAATAATCATGTCAACACGTTCACGCGCAGTATAATCCGGCATACTCCGAAACAAAAGGCTTTTGATTTAATTTTTAATAAAAATTTGTAACAAAAAAATTCTCTTCAATGAACACAAAATCTTTATTCAGTGAAATAAACGAATAAACTAAGCTGCTGTATTAAAAAATAATTTTTGTTTTGGGAGAATGAAGAGATTCGATAAGCCAAACCATACAATGACAGATATTCTATCTTCACGGTAAATGTTACTTTTATGGGGTAAAATGGATGGTTAAGCTAGAAAAGCATACGGCCTTGCGCTAGCATATGATAAAAGGGGCGAATCAACGCTTTCCGAATCCGGGGTCAAAATGAGGGACCCCGTTTAAAAAAACAAAGTTGACCTTGAAATAATCTTGAACCTGACCTCCAAGGTCACAGGCAAGGTCATAAGGGTATGTCCTCAAGTTGAGCAACTTTTGTATGAAACTATTTTTCGTAAATCTTACACTTGTAAAAAAATAAAAATGACCTTCAAATAACCTTGAGGGTCACCCCAGACCCCACGTATAATAGATCATGTAAACGTAGAATTTCCCGTTCTTTCCAAATGCAGGGTCAAAAATAGGGGGTCCCGTTGAAGAAAACAAAGTTGACCTTGAAATGACCTTGAACCTTACATCCAAGGACACAGGCAAGGTCATGAGGGTATGTCCCCCTCCAAGTTGGACAACTTTTGTTTGAAACATTTTTCGCTATCCCCACTAGTTTCCGAGAAAACGTACTGACTCACTTAAAATGGTCCACCCTGTATATATACATATATATATATTTATCGGCATTAACATGCTCGATAATCTGACTGACTCGCAACCCGGGATCGTGCACCTCACGCCATACACGAGGGCCGGTAATCATGCCAGGCCGCATCAGTGCAAACGCGCGCGCCGCCAAACATGCGAGAGAGAGAAAGAGAGAGAAAACACACGGCACCGACATTGGTCGTCGACGATGATGAGCGGCGGGAATCACCTTTGGCCGCACTTGCTGGCGCAGTGAAACTCGCCACTGACAACGCCGCCTTTACTGCCGCTACTCCTCCTACTGCTGCCAATGCTTCGCCGCTAATTGCACCGCAGCTGCCTCCTCGCAGGTACGCCGATTACACACGTGCGCCGGCGGTATAGGCCTCGCGCACACCGGTGACGGGCGGTAGCTAGGCACAACCCAGCCAACAACCAAACAAAACGTCACAGCACTCAATCACTCCTTACACGCGCCCGCACACCGAGTGCGCAACCAAAAAAAAAGAGCCACACTACGACGACGAGACGCTACACCGCTCTCGGAACCGAAAACAACCCGAGGAAAACAAAACAACCGGGAGAAAAACGCGCACGCTTGATCGGCCAGTCTATCTCCTACTCCCGATTTCCCGCGTGCGCGAACCGCACCCTCTCTCTCCCTCATCCCCTCGCATGCTTTCTCTCTTCGTCGTCCTGCTCCGTCGGCCACTCCTAGCTCCACCAATCCGACTAATTCGATCATGCTTGATAGTAATGTTTTTGATTATTGAAATACAGGTTGACTAGCTTTTGTAACAAGGCAGAATCAACGCAACTAAATATTTTTAAATATTCAATATAAAATTCGTATGTTTAACACTAAACCTACTGCAGCTGTCAAATGAAGAGCGGCTCGTAAAGCCCAAAAAATAAATGTTTTTTAATTATTGTATGATAATTATCTTGTGTTCATAGTTTATGTTAAATTCTGTATTAATTACAATCAACTAGAAAAGACTACAATTGTTTATTTCAAAAGCGATCATTTGACCGCTATTCGGTACAAATAGGTATATATAATATGTCGGTAGGTTTATTGTTAAGGGTTTTTCTTATCGCTAATTAAATTGTATTGATTTTAGAACATTCGTTATTATGATGTCATTACTTTAGTTAAACATGAAAATTCTATTGCATTAGGCACACGCTCTCTATTTTTTTTAATTTTCAAATTAATACATTTTTGTTATTTGTTTATGTATTATGCATAATGTATTATTCATAACCTAATTAGTAAATTATATATTATTTCACAATCGAATTGCCCTTATGATACATGATGTGTTAAAAAGTTGAAATCGGCTAATACACAGAGCTACCGTTAATGTACTCTGTGTCAACGATTGAGCATTGCTTTTATTTAACCGCGGCGTGAGCAAGCGACTCCCCACTTTCTGCTGCCCACTCACAATTACGTAGCAAGACAACAAAGCCGACTGCTGAATGGCCGTCATTAGATTATAATTATCTCTTTATATTAATTCAATATCAAGTATTTAATAATTGCACACTGTATGAATTTTTTGTAAATGAATCGAACAATACCAAACTTTAAAAATATTTTTGAATCACTCTGTATTTGTAATAATTATCCAATATGACCGTAATATGTTGGATATAGATGTGACTTTTAAACTCAATATTTTGCCACAGTTTCATTTCCACAATAAAAATTATGTAAAGACTTGCTTTACAGATATTTCATTTTTAAAATAACTTTCTCGTTAGGATATTAGTCGATAATAATAACGTTGAAACTTTCATAAAACTGAAGCATTTATCAACGATCGAAAAGAGATGTGACGGCTGATAAATATTCCAGAACATTTGTGTGCTATTGAGAATTACTCCGAGCAATATTCGATCATTGAAAACTGCTCTGGAATATTTTTCAATAATTGAGAACCAGTCAAGAATGTTTTTTTTATTCAATGCTTTAATATTGCCTATAAAAACTATAGAATATATTTCGATAATATACTTTATATTATCTAATTTTTATATTATCTATTATTTTTTCTATCAATTTTATTTGCAGAAATTATATTATATTTAATGTAACAGGCTGCCATTTAGTCTAAAATCACGCAAACGTACCTTTAAATGTGACTAAACGACGCCTTGTTATCTATGTGCTTAGAGCACAGAACCTACCTTGCCTCGGAGTGCGCCTGCGCAGAGTCTCTTCACTGTTCCGAGTTGGGTTCCCTCAACTCGCCACTTGGCGGCGCTGTCGCTCCTTGCTAGTAGCGCTCGTGCGGCCGCCGATGGAAACGCTGTTACCGATTCACCTCTACCGATCTCAGCGAGCTCCGTGCTACACTACCGGCGAATTCGAACGAAATGTAAACAAATATAGGCGCGACCTCCAGACAAAGGAAAGAACACAATAACGGAAACTCGTTTAAACAGAACCAAGGGATGATTTATTAAATCAAGCAAATTACACGGGGAATTGGCCGAGAGTCTTACGCACGCACGCGTGAATGACAAGACACGCTATTTGAGAGAGAGAGAAAAAACCGCGATTACCGCGAACTACCTGCTCGCACGCAATAAACAAATTCTTCGCGCTCGCTGCGCGGATTCGCACGCCAAAATTAACAAGAGAAGGGAAGGTGCACCTACCGCAAGGACGATGTGGATACGGTGGCCAACCGTATCCGAACAACAAGTTGATAATAAGCTGCTCCGCTGCTTGCTGCACCGCCTCAACAACTATTGCTGCTGTAGTTGTTGCTGCTGTTGCTAATGCTGCTGTTGCTGCTAGGGCTGCCGCCGATATTGCTGCTGCTGCCGCTATTGCTGCTGCTGCCGCTATTGCTGCTGCTAACGCACCCTCACTCACGTTCGCTATGTCACCAGGAAAACACAGGCTAGAACGGCTCGGAAAAACGGAGGTTAGGCGCACGAACTGACTGAGTAGCACAGTCATACTACCGGTCGGACCCTCCCCTCCCGGTCATTGCCCCTACGCTCCCTCTCTCTCGCGAACCGAGCGCGGCTACTCCCGTTTAGCCGCTCATTAACCTCGCGCGAGTCCTACGATTTTCGGCAATCGTTGCATTAATCAATATTCTTATACTCATAAGCGTCAATATTAATTTGAGCTTTTTCAATTTCTCAAAATAAATCTCAGATACAAACTATTCAACAAATTTATATGGGCTTTAAATAACAATCATCACTGAATAATTTTTATAGATAGATAAATAGATTTTATAATATTTACTTGTCCAGAGTAAAGATGACAAAATCCTCTAACAATTTTTTCCTTATACAAATTACCAGCTGCTGTTTCCATTCGTCTGATTGTATGTAGTTGTTTATAATACTTCACAGCATCACTTTTTGTAAGTTTCACTTGTGTAGATGGACCTTCATCAAGTTTATGAAGACGATATGATTTTGTCTCAAATGTTGCCTCGGTTCCATACTTCAGATTTATACTTTTTAGTATCTTCACCTGTTGAATAAAAGAAAGTTATTACTAGTTACTATAACACTAAAACATACATTTAAATAATATCAAATCGGACAGTTTTCTCAACGTCATAAAAAGAATGTTTCTATTACTCTGACAATCATAACTATGTCTTTTCTAGGCTTCTTGTACCATAAAACTTGAATGTGTGTACTAAACAAACGTACATTATCGTTATCTTTTTAACAAAACTAGTAAAAATATGCTATTTTGTATGTCATTTTCAAGTAGTATCAAAACATTAACCATTTATAAGAATTATTACGTCATATCTATTCTTCGTTATAATTAAAAAATTTTCTTTCAAGTAATTTGCCTTATAAAAATACTTAAATTAAAGCCTCTTCCGTCTCTTATCTATTTTTTTCTTGCCAAGTATAACAAAATAAGATCAAGATCAACGGGCTAAATGCAAGTGAATCGCGAAAGGCTGACACGCAATATAAAAGCGACGAATACTTTTCTCATGGATTTCAGTAACTATTTATAAAATTCACTATTGTAAAATAGTTCAATGGAATGAAATCATTTTGTACACACATGTGCATGTATTGTTACGTCTCAAGCTAGAGCAGACACGAAACGCAAGGTCTTACCAAACGATTGCATGTATGAGAAAGATCATTTCAAAGCTTCTCATACAAAAATGCTAAACTGCGCAGATTTGTTGCTTTCCAAAATCGCAGAAAAGCACACGTGCATCTGCGAGTCGAGGCTGCCTTTTGCAGAATTGACATGCATAATAACGCTTGATGTGCACTTTATAATTATAGAATAGCAAAGGTGGCAGAGAGAAGTGCTTCCCTCTTTCTTTCTTTCTCTCCTTCGCGAGTCATTAGAATAAAGGGAAAATCATTTTTTTTCACGGTTGATTTTACAGTGTTGAGAGCAGAGTGATTAGCCGGTTGGTCAATAACATTTATTGTCGCGCTAATGAGCGACTTCTTTCACTATGGGGCTATTAAGCAGCCTGGAAGTTTTTCGGGAGGAAATTTTTCCATTTTTGGAAAATACAAGGAAAGAGATACGGAGGCGAGACGACAGAGAGAGTGTACACGTTGCAAAGTCGTGGGCGAATAATTTTATCATAAATAAAATCGTGTATAATAAAAGAAGTGAAGTCAATAAACTTTCTTCTCCCAAATAGTTTCTTAAGAAATAAATTGAAAAACTTAAACTCTCCGCCAATTACTCTCGACTTGTATGGTGTGCGCGACTGAGTGGTGTTTCAAGCACGTTTTACACTCGATCGACAATATGAAGAAGTTGGAAAAGAGTGCCACTTCTCCATTAGAGAAAAGGACACAAAAGGACACGACATTGGAGAAAAGGAAATATAGGATATAATATTCATAACTGATGAATTTCCTTGTAAAATAGAAATAAAAGTATAAATTGCTGCATTCTTGTAAATGTAATTAAAATCAAAACGGTGAGAAATCTTATATTATAGTAACTTAGAAAAGAATTCTTGTCTTTGATATTTTCAAACATTGCATTTCTTCATTTGACTTATAGTTCTTTCATAATCATTGGAAAGAAAATCGAAATCATTTTTGAATTCTGGGTACGATAAAAGAGGCACAATAATGATCATATAATAATTTTATAATAATTTATAAAATAAAAATTACAAATTCTTTGCTGTACAATGCTTCAATACTTACTAGCTTTCTATTCTGTCAATGTTTTATCTTTAGATTTCATTTGTAGTACCTTTTGATACTTGGACATTGTCTTATAGGAGTCCTGATATTTCTTAGTAATATCACAGAGTACGTTCTGCTCTTCCCCAAAGATAGTGTTCGATCATCTTAAGAATTATTTTAGCTGTTCTTATTTGAACGTTCTTATCTTCTCTACCTTATTCTCCTTTGTTGTGTCTTTCCTTCTGGATAATTTTCTTATCATATATATTTTTAATTTATTTAGTTCAATTGCGTCCGCTCTAGCGTCAGACACATGGAATATAATATTCACCTCTCACGACAAAGTCATACCGGTAAGGTGAATTCCTTATACCATCATGGCGTTTAAAGACCTATCTAAAACATCATGGAGGATTATTTCAGGGACCAAGACCTCCAGTACGAGACTACAGAAAATCAGAAGCGCGTCACGTCTGGCGCGGCATAGGAATCAGCTTTGGAGCCCATCTTGTGAATCCTCTTGTACAACGTTCTTCTTTGTGTTGAAATGCCAGAATAAGTCCAAATTATCAGATCACGTTGCGCTGATTGTCAGAGCCAGGAATTTAAGGGTGTATTGGCTATACAATCTTAGCCAAAAGTTAATGAAAGTAAGAAAATTCATGTTTTATAGCTTTGACGGAATGTCAATGCCAATAAAACCATATATGTGACTAGAGGAAGGGTGTCTTTTGTCATTGAAACAGTTGTTGGAAGGTAAACAGCAATCTAATTATTTAGAATATTAATATTATAGCTAAGATGTCACTAACTTTTAAGAGTGAAGATATTTCAGCAGCTGTCTCTGCTATTCATGGCTTGAGAAAGTACGAAGGAGATCTTATGCTACAAAGCGAAAAAGTTCATTCGGTTTCGCTTAGAATCGCTATGGGACAGTTCCTACATTACTTATTGCCATTCAATAAGAAATGCTATTTAGCTGCGCACAATTTGAATTTCGATGGACCCAGACTATTAAATGCAATAAACAAATGTTCCTTAACTGATGAATTTTCGAAAGTTATCGAAGGATTCATAAATACTTTACCAGTTATAAAAAAATGTACCGAACGCACTAGTAAAGGTGCTTGTACCATTACAAGTCTTGCTAATTGGCTAAATATTTCTTCTTTGAATGCTCATGACGCTACCAAAGATGTTGCAATTTTAGAAAAAATTATTAAAAAACTAGCAATAAGTTATGATCATCTAGTCAATTGTGGTCATAGTTATGTGCAAATCACTGATAAATGGTTAGATGATGCTCGAGTAAGAAGATTATTGCCCACACTAAACCCACTTCTAAATGTTATTGGCAATGAAATTAGGAAAAAGCTAATAAGGGCAAACATTACAATTGAACTCTTGAAAACTACTCATTCAAGTTATGGAATAACAGGAGTTTTAGATTTACTTAGTGAAAAAATAAATAATAAGCCTATTGTTACGGCTCACAAGCCGACAATAAAAAAAATTGTTGACTAGTTAGAAAGTTGAAGGTGTAACGGTACTTAAAAAATTTAATTTTATAATGTGTTTTATTGTTCAATAGTATTAAATTTAAATTGCAATTTAAAAAGTGATGTGAAAATTACACAAATTATTATTTTTCTGGTGGTAGATAATAAAACTATTGCTACAAGATAATTATTAGTTGATTTTTAATTTTTTGGTTCGATTTGTAATTTTTTTAAAAATCAAAGTAAATAAAATATCATTTGTAGTGTTTTATGATACAGATGCACGCAGCTATTCTATCTATAGCTATAGAAATCGTCGTCCGTCATATATGGCGGCGGCGGTGTTGCCAAGTCTTGCTTGTTTTGCAAATGAAAGATATAATTTTGCATTATATTTTCATTAAAAACTTCTGTAATATTCCATGAAATAATATTATTTTTTTTACATATTCTTTCCTAGAATATTTACGGATAGATACATATAACTTTGAGGAGTTTATCATTGTTTTTTCTATACCAATTTTTAGTTTAAAGTTCAGAATCATTAGGCTAATGGCTTGTGACCATAAGAGAGTATGTAAAATTTAAATCAATATAACTTTTTTAATAACCCATGAATCTAGTTGACACGTTGCAAGTAGCTTTTTACCGTCAATATACACGCATTTACAAAAAATAAATATTGTAGCATTGTTTCGACTGATAGCCTATACACCCTTAAGATTCTATTAAACTGGGAAGACAGTCAATCTACTTATAATTTTCTGTTAAACTGAACTTTTTCCATATAATATTTTTGAGTTTTCGATTGAAACGTTTACAAATTGATTCTTTAAGATTGCTATAAGGAAAATATAGGTTTATTTTATATTTTTTCATTAGACTTTGAAAATTTGTATTGTAAGTAAATTTATATTATTCTCGATATGCTTGTAATTCCGACTTTATTATATTCAAAGATTTTCTAGATTATTTATTGCAGTCGTAAGCATAGTAACGTTAGCTTCACTAGTTTTTTGCAACGTTTGTAAGTTTACAAACCTTGTTACTCTCCTGAGGATCAGCTATATTACAAATTCTTTTGTTATCCACATCGTATTGTCCGTCTTTAATGATTTTATACCCTACACCAGGAGGACCTCGATTACCCCCCTTTTTATTCAATTTACGCCTAAACACATAAACACTCATTTTATTACTGAGGAATATTTAGGATTCTCTTAATATATATAGCCAGCTTCAGGTAATTCTTCAATGATTGAATGAATTCCATTAACATGACGAAGATTACCAGCGGTTTGTTGGGCGATAAGCAATTTTAATCGATCAACGAGCTCGTTTGGATCATCCCAATATACATAATCAAATAATGTTCCTTTTCTTGCTATTTTATAGTTAGGAAAAAGAACTCTTCCATCAATAGTCGATTTTTGCTTCTTAGCACTACTGCTCAAAGAGAAATTTGGACCAATATACTTTTTGAATGTATTTCTATGCTTATTGCGATATTCGCCATTTATTTCGTATCTCTTATGATGAGCGTTAGTAATTTCAAGAATTTTTATATAATTTTCAATATCCGATAAACTGATTAATTTAGAATCAGGTTCTTTACGAAACAGAAGTTCCATTAAACCGGGCGTCTTACTGTATGCTTTATCATTCACAGTCACGTTATCGTTTTCGAAGGAAATTGGAGAATTGTCTATGCCATATATATTTTCTTGCAAGCGAATACCAAATGTCTTGTCGAAATTACTTCTCTGTTAAAGTTCATACAATAGTTGAATATAGCTTGCTACAATCTAATCATCCAATAGCTGTTTTTGTTGTT